CTAAGCAGAATTATTATTGCAAAAGAAGAACTCTGTCACTGACTCCACTAAACTGACCCAGAGCAGTGTTAAGGATATTGATTTTAGCTGGGAAAATACTGTCAGGAGAAAAAAGGGAAGGAACTTTTTTTTTTTTTAAAAAAAAAGGTAATTTTATTTATGTTTTCCAKTGCTACTGTAAAGAGGCTGAATAGATGCAAGTGAAATCAATTTCTTCAGATGATTTTTCAGCCACAGACATGGGGAGGGCAGAGCTGAGTTCCACCAACTCTGAATCCACTCTGACTCTCACCACGCACAAAMTGCAGGGCTGCTCACACGGGAAAGCAGATGGGAGGAGACAGGAGGGGCAAATAAATTCCTTTTATTTGTATTTAATAAAATTTGGCCTATGGGCTCTACGTGACTCAGAGCTGAACATCTGGGATTGATCAGAGGATCACAAACTGAGAAGTCATCATTTGGCTCCTGGAAATAAACACATCCAGTTCCTCTGCCACAGTTTTACTTGCTTAATGATAAAATGCAACAGCCATTTTAAGTCCTTTTAATATTTTCAACCAGAGCATTTTAAACTTTTAAAGTAATTTCCAGTTATTTTTTCACATCAGGTAATGGCAAACTGCATTTGACCTTGGACTGGCAGCATTTGGGATTGCCCACAGAACTGATTCACTGCTTTGCTTCAGAATTTTCTGACACAATGGTTTCAGCCTTGCAGGAGCATTTTTTGCTCGCTCCACTCCTCATGGGGATGCTGGGAGCAGCGCAGTACCTGATGCAGGATGCAGCTCTGCTGAGCTACATGGACCAGCGCTTCCTGAACCTGGAGGTACGTGCTGATAAAYCCTTCTGCAGCTCTGTCCTAACTGCACAGAGGATTGAAAATCTATGGGTATTCTGAGGCCAGGACAGTCTGGACCATGCACCAAATCAGGAGGATCCATTTCCAGCTTTTTCCAAGGAATGAGTTAAATTGTTGCTAAAACTTTAACTGTAATGATCCCTAATTACCATGCCGTTGGTTGCAGAGTATAAATTCATAATGTTATATTTTTATTTGGCTATCACTTGTATTTTTTTTTTAATGACATCAGTGAAATCAACTAAAAAATGCAGAAGTTTATATAGTACTGTCCCAGTCCATCCTAGGGATATATAAACATATTGTATAAACACATTGTCACCAGTAGAAGTGCTGACAAGTATTTATTAGCAAGGAGACAGAAATTCATCGCGTATTTTTCCTATGTGCAGATATTCCTACCTGGAAGAGTAATTTAAGACACATTTATGCAACCCAGCGTTGTATCTGCACTTTCAATAAACCCTTAATATCTGGGAGACTGAAATGCAGTCCTTTCAATACCTTGAATTCCTTTCAACTGGTTATATAAATGTACCATTTCCTGGGTTTTCTTCTAGAGTAAAAAGCAACTGCAAAATGCCTGTTTAGTATTGGTGTGCTATAATCATATTTTGTTTATCTTAAATTATTGACAAATCCCTGGCTCCTGACTTGCACTGATCTCTCATCCCTTTTTGTACAAATCTCTGGCTAGATTTACCTTCTCAACACGGAAAGAACAGAAGAATTAGTCTGATATTCTGTTCCTATTATTTAGAGTGAGATTTAAATTTTCTTGGCCACTTTGGGAGTAACTTCACCTGGCWATTTCTATTCCTTTGGCACCYRTCAAAAATGAGGAGACTCCACCTGYGGCATTTGGTGCAAGGAGCAAAAAGCAAAGAACAGGACAAACAGTGAGGCAGACACTGAAGACAGCACTTGGAAAAGCTTAAAATAAAGGGTTTTTTTTGTAGAAAGTAATTAAACAACTTCCTGGGGACTGAGGATCTTGTATAAATGGGGGAGAGAGGAGTAGCRCAGAGAAACCACAGCTCAAAAAGCAAATCCAAAAACTCAACACCAAACTTCCTCAAACACAGCATTTCAATATTTCCATTTTCACTTTTACATGGGTGAAAAAGAGCCCCATAAGATTCTGCCTTCCATAAATGCACCAGAAGAGGTGCATTTATGTCAAATGTTCATATTTATAGATTTCCTGTAGAAAGCTCGGACAGACTACTTCACCAGTGGTCCTACAGGAGTTCCAAAAAGTTTCTGGAAAGCAATTCATAGACATCACGAGCCCTTTAAGTACCTCTGGCTGTTTCCAGAGCACTTTTGCCTCTTTAGGCAGCMAAACAAAGTGTGTGGCTGTCAGTAACCATGCCAAGGAAATAAATGTGTGGTTTTTATCCCGACCTGGGAATGCTTGTGCCAGTCCCAGATGTTCTCCTCCAACAAAAATCCCACTGGGATGGGATGGAATAGATGGATGCAGGGGGACTGGGAAGGAGAGATCAACATGGTTTTTAAAGTAATAATGAGTGAGGTTGTGATGCACACAGAATATCCACTTCTTTCCATGTATTTTTTTCCCCCCAACTCAAGAAGAGGATGGAAAAATGCAACCAAGACGTSCTGGGATACGTGGAGGAATTCCGAGACTTCTCAAAGACGGTGCTGTCCCGCCTGGCAGGACTGAACTCTGCTAAGGCTGAGCTTAAGAGGGAAGTAGAGAATTTGCTCACGAGGCTTGAGCACGCACAGAGGGACATKGAGTATTTGGGATCTGTCACAGATTCCAACGCCTGCGTGGAAGTGCACGAAGGGCTGGTGGAACAGCAGCTCCTGGAAGAGGCAGAAGAGAAAAAGAGACTTAAACTCATGCTGAATGCAAGTAAGAACAGTTTATTTGTCAGAAATTTGGGGTGAGGAGCCAGACCCCTGTCCCATGCATGTTGATGATTATAGCTTATAAAAATTAGGCTTATAAAAATCCTGTATAAGCAAAAAAGGTATGGGAGACGGAGGGAGGAAAATACAAGTCAGACATTTACTTTGCAGAAATTCTGCTGCATGTCAAATTCATYCCTTTGGAAGGTGCTTTTTATTGTAAARTCATGGAAGATCTTCTGAAGGTGCRCTCTTGCAAAGTCCCAGAAAAATRCATTTCTGAGCRCTGCAGCTGTACTAAGGAATTAATGGTGKTCTTTGTTTTTCAGACTGGGCAGGGTCAAAACCTCAAAAATAAAATGAAATTCACAATAAAATACCTAATTCACTTCTACAATTTGCATCTGCTTTGCTGTCCTGCTTTCCCCATTGAGTTTGAYGGCAAAGGTAGTCCCTGTGTAGATTTTACAGCACTTAAAAAACAGCAGGAAGACCTTCAACTCTAGCAAATAGCACCTCTGCTTCTATKCTGTCATGCCTTAACCAGAATCTGTGATTATTTTTGCTGGGTCACTTAAAAAATCTAGCAGAAAGGAGTTYTTTTGAGCCCAGCCTTGTTACTGTGTTTGGTTCAAGTTCCCACAGAAAATAACCGTTGAGTAAAATCACTGTTTTYACATGCAGTAGCTGATCCCTCATCCTGCTTTGGGTAGAAAATGTGACATTATCTTCTGCACATTTTGGGAAATGGTAGGAAACAGTGCGCTTTGAAGAGYTCATTGCAGAAAAATGTGGGAAAAATTTGGTAATTTTTTGCTTACTGTGAATTTCTCATTCTTCCTTCAGGCTGTTAAAAAAAAAAACCAAAGTTAAAAATCTTCTCTCAAGAAGAGAGGCACTGTTCACAGATTTCAGACAAAAAATCTGGTTAGAGGAAGTGGCTGCTAAGTCTGGCTTTGCTTCAGCAGCTTTAATTTTTTTCAATCTATCTAAACAATAAATGTTAGTTTTGGGAAAAGCTATTGTGGCTTGCTCAGGGAAAGAGTGAAGACTCTGAGGAAACAAAACCCTCCATGCTGTAGCAGCAATATCCAATTTGATTAGAGGGTATCAGCACACACAAACGACATAAAGATCGCTTTCTACAGGCAACTGGAATCTTGCCACTGACTTCAATAGGTTCATATCAGGCCAAAAAAAAACAGGGGGGATGGATTCTCTCTCCCCATTTCATCTGCTGCCAGAACTTCCTGCCTTGGAGCTTTGTTTGTCCTGTTTACTGGGATGGCTGCACTTCACTGAAAGCAATTCCTCAAATTTCAAATGCTGCGGCGAGTAATTTATGAGCGCACTTGGTAAACAAGATTGCTAACACGCCTTGCAATGGTTTTGGTTGGTTTTTTTTTTTTTTCCTGGAAAGGATGCTGCTTGATAAAGATCTTACAGTCTAAATGGCTGAGTCYTCACAGGCCTGGTGCTTTCTGGCCTGAAACATCCATGCAGAGCGCATGCAAAAGCCAAAATTGTGACAGCAATTTTAACCCTTCAGTGAGGTGAAAAACTTTGTGGTTCTTCCAGCCACGCTCCTGGCACAGGAACTGACTGCACAGACATCACACCAAATCCTTCAAAAACCACCTTAATGCATGCACATCCCTGGGTTTGTGATCTATATTTTGCTCTGGTTCCTTTGTGTGCAGGTGTTGGGAAAGGGAATGGGAAGACAGCCCAGTGTTTTGGCTTTCTGTTGTGCTGATCTATTTTTATTTCTTTTTATACTACAAATGCATAAAAAGAGTCTACCTGAGGATAAAATCAGTCCTGAAAAAAAATACTATTCATCTGGCATAGCAGGATAATGGATTTTCATTTGTATGCCTCCAACAGGAAATAAATTTGATTATTTTACTGTGTTGATCTAAACCAGAAGTCAGTTCTCTGAAGTAAAATTACAGCCCTGTAAAAGGACCCACAAGAATAATCACAAAATCACCTGATCTCRGTCTCCTTTCAGGCACACAAATAAAATTCCTTTGGGGTAACACTGTTGTAATAGGACAAAACCCAACTCTTTACAGATAGATGAAGATACACAGTTTTCTAAGCAGGAATATATCATATAAAACTATTTTCAGCGCTATTTATCATAGCAGCTGAAACCTTTATTATTATATTGAATAACATAGAGATGAATTAAAAGGAAACTTAGCAATACAAAGAAAAGAAACTAGAAAATGTACAGATATTCTAATGTTCTTTTGTCTTGGGGTGTTTCCCTGCAGGTTGTGACCATGTGCTTGCAGGTATTAAGTCCCTGAAGATAGTTAAGAAAACTGGAGAAAAGCACGGCTCTTGGATGAAGGATCCTGGCAAAAAGCACGCCAAGATTTATTTATTGAGCGGCTCTGTAAATAACGTTGTGCTGGAATTTTCAAGCATCATGGCATTCATGGARAACAATCAGACCCTGAAGGCTCGCAGGGTGCCCTTGCCATGGCCCTGGGAAGGAACTGGCCACGCCATCTACCAGGGCTTCCTCTTCTACCACAGGCACGGCTCCTTGAACGAGATCATTAAATTCAACATCCTGAGAAGAAACATCGCCGGCCAAATGCTGCTGCCAGGGGCTGGGAGGATTCCTGYCTACCAGCTTTCTCCACAAACCAAAATCGACCTGGCTGTGGATGAGCAGGGGCTGTGGGCGCTGCATGCAGAGCCAGAGATTGGAGCGAACATCGTGGTGACCAAAATTGATGTGGCCAGCATGGCTGTGGAGCACAGCTGGGACAGCCCCTGCAGCAGCAGGGATGCTGAGGCAGCYTTCATGGCCTGCAACACSCTGCACGTGGTGTACAACTCTCCTKCTGGAGGCAGCTCCCACATCCAGTGCGTTTATGATGTTCTGGGTGCTGCCAGTGCTTACAGCAGCCCAGGGATGCGTTTGCCAAAGCGCCAGGGAAGTCATTCTGCTGTGCACTACAACCCCAAAGAACAGCAGCTCTTCGCCTGGGGTGATGGCTCCCAGATCCTTTACAAGCTTCACATGGAAAAAAAGGTTTAGAATCTTCAGCAGCTTTTCAAATAGACTTAAAACCAACGGTCCCAGGTCAACACAGCCATTAATGTTCATGAAAATTGCATTATTCCCATCTGTTACAATTTTCATCTGTTTTGCATAACTTAAGGCTTACACACCCCAGTAATATTAAAYTAATGTCTAATAAAGAATATGTGAAGACTCCATTAATATAAAGTACATGATGACTAAATATCACACATGTACAACCCCCTCACGCACACAAAGTCTAAAGTTAATTTAAAAAAATAATCAAATAAGAGACAGATTCTCCTCCTATTTAAACTGTGTGTTTTGCTTTGGTGCCATAGAAATCAAATCAGAAATCCTTCCTGTCTCCAGCACAGTCTGACAACCCTCACAACTCTGAAGATCACTGCASAAAACCTTCTAGTGAGCAATATAAAATCATAGTTTTCCAGAGAAATTAGCTGTGAGATTGAACAGGAGGGGTTCATTGCATCACAAAGAGTAGGAATACACACCCTCACAAACACAGTTTATTTAACATAAAACTCTCACATATCACATCAAGGCTGTTCCTAATCATGGGACTRCCAGAGTATTTCCATGAAAATCCCACATTTCTTACCCCCATAGCTGTGCAGACCACTGTTGATCCTGCCAGTACATTAGCTGCAGCCAAATATTCATTTTTATCAGCTTTTAGTTGCCACTTTTCAATATTTTTTGAGCATGTCACAGTGTGTCAGAAGGAATGTTCCCAGATGAACTGTTCTGTGTCATACATTACCTTTAAAGATTTTGTCAGTCTTTGGTGTTTTTCTTATTAGTCCTCTTCCATCATTTTTCCCAATGCTTCAAGTCACTTCCATTTCTGCTAAAGCAGAACTTTTCTCACCCTATCCTCCAGCTCAGGAAAACACCTGTACAGGAAAGGTGGCTCAGATGAGGACAATGGTGCATGTGAGGGCATGACACTGCTCAATCCTGGGTGTGTGAGTCACAGACAAACTCCATGTACTTTTGTTTCCAAAATAATGTTAAAAATGTTAAATAATGTTAAAAAAAAAAAAGGCCTTTAGTGCGAAATACAGGTACTGACTGTATTTTTTTCAATTATTTTAATGACAGCTGCATTTCTGTTTAACAGCAAACAAACAAACACACCAAAAAAATCCCCCCCAGAAAAACCACAAATAATGGTACTTGAAAAGCAATCCACAGCTGTTTGTACAGARAGCCCATTTTGTTCATTACACTGAAAGAGCTGTTGTTCTGTTTAAAAATAGCATCCACAGARCAGCCAAACATCAGGGAATGATTGTGAAAAGGAGTTGCAGAACACGATTAAGAGAGTATAGACTGCTGAGCTGCAACAGTGACACTGTCTGTTTGTAAAATAAACTCTATCATTCTYAGCAGCCTCAGTGACCAGAGCTTTATTTCTGTCTTGCAGCAGCCACAGGATGCACAGCTAAAGACATCCTCAGGCTGGAGGGAAGGTGGGCTGGCACTGCTTTCCTGTGTGATCCTGGGTTAAAGGCCTTTCCAACAAATGCAAAATGGAATCAGCCACCTTTGGGATGCYTTGAGAGCTTTCACTGAAAAGGTTGTGTGGGTTTCCTTATTTAAGAAATCAAGGCTTTGGGTGTAAATATGGATTGAGTCTGCTCTTTAGAAAAGGCATTCTTGGGATGTGCTTTGTGCCACAGTATTACACAACGGAGAAAGCCTTCACTGATGTTCTGTACAGGGATTTTAATGTGCAATCTCCTCAAAGCTTCTGGCAGGGTCTTCTCTGAGCCTTGCTGCCCTGGAAAGCCAAGCTTTAGGATGAATTAAAGCCCAAGAGGGGGTGAAGCACCCAGACATCCTGCAAGCAGGAAAGGGAGGCACAGAGAAGGGCTCCCAGCATCATAAAAGAACAGCTCATTGTCAAATGCTTGTGGACCCTCCTTCCCCATCCCCATGGTCTGTCCCAGGAGCCTCAGGAGATCCCACGTCCTCTGCATGAAGATAAATTTAGTTAAATCCTGGATGACAAARAGCAGAAATAAGGACTGTGTGCTCAGAAAGAGAAAGGATGACAAATTTGTGAGCTGAATAACCTGCTCCCAGCCAGCAGTGTTCAAAAGGCAAGGGCAAAGGACTGTCAGCCAGGCAGTGGTTGGCCATGACAAGGCTGCATGAAAGAGGCCATTGACTTCCAGTTCAGGTAGATGGTCTGATTGTTACCATGGAAATGGAATTGSTACAAGGAGATGAACACAGAGGAGTCTTCAACAGGAACAAAAAACACAAATGAGTTTATGACCTCTGCCTTCACCATCTAGATAGCACCCATTACTGCCCTTTTTATTCAAGTCCTTTTGTGCCACACTTTCTCGGTGCTCTCTGAGCCACTGAACCATCTGAACCACTGTGGTAATTTCATCCGAGCCACCGTGCTCGTTTCATCTGAACCACCAGCTCTTTGCTTTTTCCTGTTCAGAATCTCCTCTTGGCTCACTGTTGTGCTTGGCAGTGCTCTCAGAGGGGAATTCAACACACGGCAGGATCCTCATCCTCCCAACAATAGCAGCATCCTCAGTGCTTGGATGTGATGAAATCCCTCTCCTCTTCCCTGACACTGCAGTCAGCTCATCCTTTCCCTGCATTAAATCATGACTGCCCCTTTCCATGTGAGCCAGGCTCTCACTGCACAGATTCTCCTCATTTTCCACGCCCTCCACTCTTTCTGCTGTCTCTTCTGCAGATCAGAATAACCTACAGTGATTCTGTCCTCTTTGCACTTGAARCACTCAGAATTATCACAGACAGAAAGGTTTTCAGCTTTGATTTATTGACACCTGTGTGATGAATTTAAGCTTTCTGATAACTGTGTGCTTTATTTGGGTTTTGTGGCTMCCAAGGGTCTGTGACTGCTAAAATAAAGCTTACCAGTAGAGCAGAGCTTGATGCTAGGAGCAGGGTGTAAATCATGCCAGTACAACTAGGTTAATTTTCACGGTGCCCATCTGAGATAAACTTGTTTGCCAGAAAATAATCTTCCCATCTCTTTTTCTTCTTCATTCCCAACTGCTTGGATCTGGAGGGTGACAGCCTGTTTTGGCATTCATGCAAGCAGCCACCATATCAGAAAAACAGACACTACGTGTTTGTTACAGATGGGTTTATCACTAAAAAACACAACTCTTACATGCYTGCTGTCATCCTGCTCTGTCTCAGCCCACATTGTCACTCCCATGCTGGTTCCCACCATGAGTGTGTGCTCATCTCCAGTTGCAGGACATGGCCAAAGACATGCTCGTAAGTCCAGCAAAGAAACTGTAGGACCAAAACCATCAAAACACAGCTCTCCTAATACTGAAGAAATAGCTCCTCCTGAAGGCAAAAGCCAGGCTTTTCAGGATGTTKGAACTTTTCATGGGTTTGCATTGCTTGTAAGAAAATAACATTTTATGATACTTCCATCACATCGAGCCCTGAGCCCAGAGAAAACAATGTACAGAATCCCAGGATTGGTTAACTTGGGAAAGATCTCTGGGATCATCGAGGCCAAACTTTGACTGGACACCATGGTGTCAACCAGACCACAGAGTTGAGTGATACACCTCATCTTTGCTTAAACWYCTCCAGGGATGGGGACATTACAGTGTCTAATCATCTTTCTGTTGGTGATATCTGGGTATTACTCACTCTGCTTTCCTGCTGTTCATACAGACAGCATAAACCGTGGGTTTAATCTGTCTTGGAATTTATTATTAATGCAAAACATTTCAAAGGCCCTTGCTGTTTGAAACCCCTTTTAAAATAATKTTGAACAAGTAAAAGCTTTATGTGGAAAAGGTTAATAAAGAAACACTCTTAACTGCTCCCTGTKCAAGTGTCATATTTATTGCAGATAACCATCTGCCTTTCCTTTTTATTTAGGGCTGATTTCTCACTGGGACTGACCCCATRCAGTGAGTCAGCCTCTGCTCCATGATTACAGGACTGGGGCTTTKCTTTCAGTTTTTTGAACTGCTTTGTAAGAGTAGGAGAACAAGGAAAGAAATATCTGTGGGAAATGTTGTGTTGTAACCTTTAGTACTATCTCAAAAAGTAAAATGCTTTTGAGGTGGCTCAATTTTGAGAGCTCCTGGTTTTGTCATTTTCTCACATTGCCAATGGTCATAGGCTTGTATGTTTACATTTTAATGTTTGAAAAAGAGGAGAGATCTAATTTTTTTRCAAGAAAACATTTGAGTTCTCCCCACCCACCTTCTGCAGCAAAAAAACCTCCACAGATTTATCAGTCAGAGCMCAGCTGAAATCCAGCTGGCACAATGAAGCTGCAGTTTTCTTATKAGATATGATTTTACTGACTCCCTCTGATGGAGCTAGAGGCCAAGGAAGGTGCTGCTTGTCATGTCCACAAGCAAATTTTTTGGTAAAATATTTATATTAACATTGCTATTACTCACAACACCAAATTAACTTCAACACTGTATCCATAAACATTGTTTTTCATTTCACCCTTGTTTGTGTCCACGCTTAAAKAATTTGTTGAGGAAATAMAACATCACATGACTGACTAACCAGAAAAACAGCAAGGAATGCTCATAAACAAGATATGAATACTTTTGAAAAAGGAATGTGGTATGTACACAGAAAGAGGATCCTGATATCTGACAATGCACAAGCAAAGCAAAGCAGAAGTTAAATTCCTGTCCTCATGCATTCCATTACTCCAGGGAAACAAGAATTTAATTTGTGTACAACCGCACTGGGTAAAGTCAGTGGTTTAGGTTCTCTGTGAATGGTGAGCTGGGTTTTAAGACCAAAGGAGATTTTTAAAGGAATCTGAAAAATGTGAAAATTTTCCTAAATGTTTCAGCTAAAAAGAGCAGAAGAGATCTTAAGATTTTGACAGCAGAAAAAAAAAACAAAAAGAAATCCCAACTCTAAGAGTAGAGAACTGCTGAAAATCTGCAGTCTGTTGGATAAACAAACCAGGTCTTAGGTACTAGATCAAGTCTCAGAGAAACACCCAGTTTATCTCTGAAGGTGGGAGAGGAACAATAGAAATGGGGAAATGCAGAAAGAGTGAAAGGTTCTTCGGCAGGAAAACTGAATTGTGCCAGCCCAGGCTAGGTGTCCCCGGGGAACCTGTAAATCCAGGAGCTCCCACTGATTTGTCAGTAATGGACAATTATTCAGAATTTCCAGGCACATTTATCAGCTCCTGGGTCCAAGACATGCACTAGAGACAGGGATCTGCTGCTTTTTCTGTTCTTGGCTCGGGGTTTGTAGCCGGGTTTTGTTTTTTTGTTTTTGGTTGGGTTTTTTTTTCCCCCCCTAATAGACCTTAATGGCTGCTTTCAGACTGACACTTAAGATAATTTTAAGATGTGAATCAGAGCAAAGACTCAGAGAAACTGCCCACTGCTCTTTAATCTCCACAGTGGCACTTATCCCTGGTGGAGCCAGATCTCAGCGCTGAGCAGTAAACAAACTAAACAAACTAAACAAACTAAACAAACTCTGAGCTGGGGCATGTGATCGAACTGCAGGGAATCAGCTGAGTCACAGGAGCTGACCTTGTCCTCTCTGGCCACCGTCGGGGTGAGATGAAAGTGGCTTAGGCTAATCTGGCCCTGTGAGCTCAGCTCAGCTCGGCTCAGCCAGCTCGGCGGGGTTTGTTCAATCAGGACATATGGGCCASAGCGGCCCCAGTGCAGCTCCACAGCCTGGGAAAACTCTGAACGCAGCCTAAAGGCTGGGAATTGTGACAAAAAGGGCTGTGGGACAGCCGCCACCACCCTCACACTCACCAGGAACCAGGGACACCGTCTGAGGAACAAAGAACACCATCTGAGGGGTCAAGGACACCATGAACACCATCTGAGGGGTCAAGGACGCCATGAACACCATCTGAGGAACCAAGGACACATCTGAGGGGTCAAGGACACATCTGAGGGGCCAAGGACACCAAGGACACCATCTGAGGAACCAAGGACACATCTGAGGGGTCAAGGACACCATCTGAGGGGTCAAGGACACCATCTGAGGAACCAAGGACACATCTGAGGGGTCAAGGACACCATCTGAGGGGTCAAGGACACCGTCTGAGGGGTTAAGGACACCATCTGAGGGACCAAGGACACCAAGGACACCATCTGAGGAACCAAGGACACCAAGAACACCATCTGAGGAACCAAGGACACCATCTGAGGGGTCAAGGACACCGTCTGAGGGGTCAAGGACACATCTGAGGGACCAAGGACACATCTGAGGGGCCAAGGACACATCTGAGGGGTCAAGGACACCATCTGAGGAACCAAGGACACCATCTGAGGAACCAAGGACACATCTGAGGGGTCAAGGACACCATCTGAGGGGTCAAGGACACCAAGGACACATCTGAGGAGCCAAGGACACATCTGAGGGGTCAAGGACACCATCTGAGGAACCAAGGACACTATCTGAGGGGTCAAGGACACCATCTGAGGAACCAAGGACACCATCTGAGGGGCCAAGGACACATCTGAGGGGTCAAGGACACCATCTGAGGATCCAAGGACACCATCTGAGGGGCCAAAGACACCATCTGAGGATCCAAGGACACCATCTGAGGGGCCAAAGACACATCTGAGGATCCAAGGACACATCTGAGG